TTGCAGTGATACAAGTTGTTTGTGGATTCTCCCGCTTGGAATGATTTGGAAAGCCATCGCTTACACTGCTAGTGCACTTGTATCGCGGAGTAGTTGTTGCGAAGGAGACGGCGCGCCGGGCTGTGCAGAAGCTACACCTCACCACGGTGAAACAAAGGCACAGAAAAGGGGGAAGAACTGCAGCTGTCGTGCCTGCAGGGCTATATTTTTTGCGGGTACATTTGCATGTTTGTTTCAAAGTGGTACCAAATGCAAGCCACCCCGTTTTGGTCATCCTGAAGGCTCCTGTGTGTTTTTGTAGCCTAAGCAAGCATCATGGTTCGCCAATATGGCGTGCCTCAATGATCTCGTTCCCATGGTTGGCTCAGACGGGGAATGGATCCTTTAGCGGCCAAGGATCGTCCACCCTGTTCCCCAAGACCAAAGGGCCTTGTGTCACCAGTTTTTTTTTTTTTTTTTTTTTTTTTCCGGAGCTTTTCGTAAAGGATCAGGCATTCTTGCAAAGTCTTTGCTTGGATTGCATGCCCGAATGTACGTAAGGTGGCGTTGACTTTCCTTATGGGGCTTGTGCGATGGCAACCATCAAACCCGTTCTTTGCGCCCAGCTTTCCTTCCATCGCTACAACATATTGAGCAATGGGTCGGGTTGCGTTGTGTCATCATGGGGAGACTGCCACAACCTAGCAACTGTGATTGGAGCCAAAAATAATGGACTGGCAGCTAGCTTCCCATGTTTTGCAACAGCAATACTTTTCTACCTGAGCTGTTGCTTCTCTCGCATTTCGAAACCACTTCCTGCTGAAATGCTGATCCATTGAGGGGCAAACCCTAGCATGTACGTACTTAGAGCCCTGACAGCATTGCCTGTTCAGTGAGAAACAGGTCTGGAGACAACTCCTTGATGCCGGGATGTCAATCGTATGATAATGATAGGTGACGTCTTCAAGAATCCTGGGGTTCTGGCCTCAATTCGGCAAACACATGATGCACAAAGGGTTGTATGTCCGCTATATGTCGCACATGTTAAATGCTGCATTTGTAATTGAGGCAGTATTCCAATCCAGCACTTTCTTGCCCAGGCTGCAGGTGCTTTGCTTGATGCAGCAGCCACCGTAGATGCACCATAACAGAAGCGCTTGTAAGATATGCCTGATTTTCTAGAACTTGGTTTGCCTTGCCTCATGCCCTCGCGAGTTTTTTTTCCAGCTTGCAGTTCCTGCAGGTCTATGTTTAGCCATGTGAAGCTCAAGCAAGACAATGTTAACGATTGCAGGTGGCATATGTGGCATTCAGTCAAGCCGGCTGCTCGAATGGAAGACATGTTTTCTTTAGCGCCAAGCCATTACTTTCCCTGGGATTGTCGGATTTTCAAACGCATCCGGCATCATCCGGCAGTGACTGTCGGTTGTGAGCACGTGCCAGGTATGTTGAAACTTATTTGATGTCCGAGGAGCGGGGAGAGGGAGGGCAAATCATGCCGGTTGTTGCTTTGCTGTCTACTACCCTGAATATCCTTTTGTTCTGCAAGCGTATGCACACGACACCTCGCAACTCGTTCTGCTCTGGGACATAAGCAGGATGAGGGTTGAGTTGACAACAATGGTTACAGCAACATCAGCCTGTTCTCGGCATTGATCAGCACAGAGGCTCCAGGGTATCAAGCCACAACCAGGGCTGCAACATGTTTTGAATGAGAACCAAGGAGGCAAGCTGCAATAAACGATGGCAGGCAGGCATGCAGCAGCTCAAATAACAACTGGGACAGGTCCTGTCTGACAGGAGTCTCACGTTGCTTCGGGTCAAAGCATTGGTCTTGCCATTTCCCACCCCTCGCTCAGGACTCCGAGGCAGAGGGGTATCTTTATAACAGACTTTGAAATATGTCCTTCACTTGCTGCATGTAAGGATCAGCGCGCTTTCTCCGGTTAGTGTATTTTGCTTGCATGCACCTAAGGACAAGGCATCAGACACTTCTCAATAAAGAGGTTTCCCTTGTCAGACTTCTATGTGCCATTGCATATGTGTGTGTGTGCTCGTGTGTGTGTCTGTGTGTTCGTGTGTTTAAGTGCGGTTTAGTAAGTGTGCACACGTGTTCCTCTCAATGCATGCGCTGCAGTCATTGCTGTTGCTCTAGGTTGGTGACTGCTTCTGTTGAGTGCCAGCCGCAACTAGTTTTCTGTCTAAGCCTGTTCAAATTCACAAGGGATCAGAGCCACAGTGTCTCCGTGGTTTCGGCTGGCTGGCGTAGCTGGCCAGGAAACCGGGGACAAGAAGTTGTCGTCCATCAACTCAACTGCCGGCAATCCTATACAAATTAAGTGGAACCATGCGAACCAATGCACAGGGAGTGCAAGGTATATACACAAGCAGCCATCCCATCACAACAACCGACATACGCAACGTCACAACGCAACTCGCCCTGTCAGGACAACCAAACCATCAAGCTTATATATGGCAACAACGGCGTATGCGCATGACGGTTTCTATTTTCCCTGTCTTGATTCTTGGATGGTGCTTTGGAAGCTTCCAGCATTGTTAACGTCCCGTGAGGCTAGGCACAGTTAAGCCTTGCTGGCCGTCCGCACCTTGAACTTTCGCATGTGTTGATACACCTACCCCGTTTATCAATCTGTTAATGGCAGCAACTGTCTTGCATGAGGGGGTCGATGCCCTGGCTTTGCAGGAGGAGATACGTGGAATTGCGCCCTACGAGAGGCTGACCATGGGTTCTTTCTCGCCGCCAATTGGGGTGGCAGGGAGTTGAGCATACTGCAAGCATGGCACATGTCAATTCTCACTGGGCTGTAAGATGGCCTTATGAGGTGCTTCCCTAGGAACCCCGAACTCTGACCGATGCTGGCCGAAGGGAAACATTTGGGGCGTGTGGAATGCTGAAATTCTTGGTGCAGCTCAAGATATGTTTCTTGCCTTTGTGGCGGAAGAGGTGCGTGTGATGAACAAGGCATGCAAAGTGCAAAATCAATAGCTGGAAGGGCCAGCACAGTGCACCAGATTGATTGCAAAGAAAGCAACATGGCGAATATCATTCACACACTATATAGCCACTTACAAGTCATGACGGAGAGTAACATCAGCCAAATGTTGCATCTTTGCTTGCCATCGCTAGAATGCGCTGGCAGGCCACGTTACATGACTGGTGCATTTTGTGATTTAACCTGGGGACTCAATCATTGGACACCTGTTTGAGTCTTCCGTCTCAGTTTTTGGGGCTGGTCTTGCTAGATTTGAACTGGGCGTTGCAAGCTGATTGATTTCAGTTGTCCAATGCCAACTTTCCTGTCGTTTCACCTTGAGGCGTGCTTCACAGTCAAGCTTGGACGCAAGGGTTTGTTTACCTTCGACCTGTTGTTTCTCCGACCAGAAAAGAGCAACCGAAACGGGTTCAGTTGGGCAACCAAGTCTTTCATTTGTCTGTTCTGTCCTGGCAGTGGTCGTACTTGGGTCATCATTGCACTCCGCCTGCCAGGGGTTTCAAAGAGGGAGACATAGGCATCTGGCCCAATTGCTTGGGGCCTCATTCACATGACACCTCACATGATGCTGACAGTTGATCATCATGCGGAGGAAAGTTGCCATGCATGTAGGCCAACCTTCAGGCACAGCTTGAGTGCTCAACAAGTTGCTGTCACGCCTAAATGAGAAGGGGCAAAATATGTAAAACATAGTAACATCCGCCCCCCACCAACTCCCCAAATATCTCCCGAGTTGCATAAGGATTCGCCCGGGCGCAAAGTCCCTGACGCATTTCAAGTTGTTCTTGCTTAGGGTCGTTGAACGTCAAAAGGATTTGGTATTGATTGTGCGATCGATTTTTCTTGCTTCCTGTCCTTCTCTATTTGATGCTCCTTTGTTTTTGTTGGTTTTGTTCCCTCTTCTTTGTTCCTCCTCTCCTTCTTCCTTTTCTATTTTACCCTTTTCTGTTTGTCCTCTTTATACGCCACGCAGTCCTTGTCTTTTTCTTGAGGGTGCGGAATGCACAAAGCGGTTTCGTCAGTTTTCTACCTTGCTTGGATTTATCCAGTTGGAAGGTAGTGGCATTGAGGCTGTGGCCAGAGAGGCGTAGAGTCGTAGAGCAGGTGCGCATCGAGGCGTGGAAGCGATGTAACAGAGGCCGCAGCAACAGCAGCAGGAAGGTGCGCAGTAGGTAGTTTGGTGTTTCATCGCCCAGAGCTCAGTCAGGACGAGCAAACAACACACCTTGCTTCAAGGAGGAGCAATTTGTGCGGCCAAGTTTTTGTTTTGTGAAGCTTAACTTGCTTCTTTCTCAGCCCAATCACGCACCGTTCCCCGCCCGGCTGTCACACTGGCAGCCGAGGCAGCAGCTGGAACTGGTGAAGCATGCAGAGGCTCAGCTCATCAAGGCGTACGGGGCCTTAGGTGCCCTGGAGCAGTCACCATGGCCATAGAGCAGTCCTTGCGGTTTTCTGGCCGCCAACAGCTGCCGAAGTCGGCCCTGCTTGCGCCCTGGTCATTGGGCAATTTTGGGTGGCCTTGGTGGATTGCTTGCTGGCAATCGGTCCTCACTCTTGCATGGGCTTTGCAAGTCCTTTGTCCTGCCTCGACCTTACAGCTTGACAGCTCCCCACAAACGTAGTGCTGCTCAGTTGGATACAAGACTAGAGGGACACTTGGCAGTTTGCTAGGCTGTACTGTTGGTGCCGCAGCTGCGACATGCCAAGCTACGTAGCCTTGGCCATTCATGCCGATTAGGTCGACACATATGCACCCATTGAAGCCAGTATTAGTCAAGTTGCAAGTTCTATGAGAAGAGATGTCCAAGTAGAACCTCGTCTAGTTGACGATCACGGACACAGGGAAACTGGCACGCCTGAGACAGTAAAGTGTCTGCTCTCAAGAAAGCAGCAGCTTGCCAAGAAAGCAGTTGCTACGGATTCTCCAACGTGTAGCGTTGAACCTACTTCTTCAACATCCTGCCCCGTTTTCCCTTTGCACTTCCCGGTGCCTTAGACCCTCGCGCCATGTGGCCTGAGCTGCTGGCGCCCCTTGCCCCGCGCCTGCGCAGCAGCTTCCTGCGCCAGCAGCCGCTGCATGTGCGGGGGGCGCAGCCAGTGGCGAAGAAGGCGCAGGAGGCACTGCAGGACACAACGAGTTTTATCGAATTGCAATCCTATGACGTGGGGTTCCCTTCGGCCCATTCAAGGTGAAATTCCATAGGTGGCAGGTTTTTGTTTGTTTGTTTCAAGGGGGACATATAGGGATCCCTGTAGTATGTGTTGTGTTCTTAAGCATGATCAAAGCTATCCTTGCTGTAGTACTTGCTTGCTGTGCCATGTTGTTGATGTGCATCGGGGTTTTCATTGGTTGCTTTCCAACCTGTTTCTGACTGCCACCAACAACGTGGGATTCTCAAGTTCCTTCCAACGCATGAGGCGTTTTAAGAAACGCTTATTGGCCCTTCATGATCATGGGCAAGCGCCCATCTCACAATGAATGATACAAGACATCAGGATGGCGCATTGTCATGCCATTCATTTTCCAGTCCAAGCCAAAAAGCGAGGTTGACTGATCCAAAGTCCCACATAACACCTCCAAAAGCCCAAAGCAGCCCCACTTGGACACCCAACTGCCGTGTTTCCCGAGGACCTGGCCCTCTTCATCGATGCTGGCGTGCTCCCCGCGGGCGCCGCGGAGGTGGTGGAGAACTCCTGGCGCTCCAGGCCCCTCCCAGGCCAGGCGGAGCGGAGGATCCTTGGCATCTTGCAGTTTGCCAAGGGATGTTAGGACTTACTTTTGGCCAACTAAAACCAAGGGTTTTCCGAATTAAACCACCAAAAGAAAAATAAAAAAAACAACTTTTAGCGGGCGAGGAGAAAGCAACCGAGAAAGGGTGTCTTTACATGGCATCCCAGGTATGCTTTTACCCTTTTCTGTGGGTTTCCTTTGACAAACATGTGTGTGTGTGTGTCTTTTGTGGAGGCCGGCCTTTAGATGAAAAGGAAAGGGGGAAAGGGTCGTGAAAGATGAACATCGTGATAAGGGATTCATTCTGGACGAACATCTGCGTCGGTGCTGCCGGTCCAGAAAAGTACAGCCCCCTTCAGGTGATCTATACGTGCTTGTAGCAGATTTCCTGTTGGGGCAAGGGAGCAGTGCTGGCATTCCTCCCAAATTAGCTTTGAGCACTTAGGCAGCACACATTTCGTCATGAGGAGGTTTGAAACGACAGCCGAAATGTCATGTTTGCGAACACCCGGCGAAAGGAGAGCAACCTTTCAGACCTTGTCTGGTGGGCACGCAAATGCGTTTAATCGTGTTGCCTTTGAGGCTGCGTGTTTCTGCTGTAGCCGGTTGGTGGACCGCCCCCTTTACATAGCCAATCCAGCGCCGCTTTTCTTGCTTCACTTACAACTCTTTGTCATGCACTCCGCTGGCTCGTAGCTTTCTGGCTTGATCCAGGCAATCAGCTGAGCGCAGGACACGAAAGGACGGAGGGCAGGGTGCACGGTGCACGTGCCCACGACGTAGCCTAGGACCCGCAATCATTTGGTTAGATGCCTTACATACCCTTTGGCAAGGATTCACTTTGCCCCACAAAGCATCTTAGAGCACTTCTCTTGGCACTTCTCTTTGCCATCCTCTGGTAGCGGTTCACTTTGGATGTTGAGATCTGGGGTCCGACTTTTTTGCAGACCAGACTACCCAAAGTGCTGGTTAGAGGCCTAGTGCCATCCCGCGAAGCGCAAGCCTTGTGGCCCCATGGAGCGGCGTGGCTTCGGAGGCGAGGGCCAAACGAAGCGCGGCATGGTGCCGCGCCCTGCCGTCCATTTGTTCAAAGCGAATCAAAACGACGGAACAGTGGCCGGAGTTCAGGGTCGGCTTCCCACTGCCGGAAGCCTTCTTGCCTTCATGGTCTTTATTGGTTTTCGTTCACCGTGTACAAGTGAAGATTATGGTTTTTCTTCACAAAGCTCTGATGCTCGTGATGCTGAGGAATAGTAAATGCTTGTGGCGCGCGCAATGTATCTTCCTTGATCTTGTCACACCACGAGCCCTAGGACTGGTGAAACAAGGGCCCACCGTGGCAAGCCTTTGGCTGTTTTCGACGGATGTCAGAAGGATTCCAGCCGCAGTGCGCAGGTCGGCTGCTGCAGCTGTTGCTGTTGGCGTCCGCCTGGCGAGTCGTTTAAACAGATTTTGTACAGACACTTGGGAGGAAAAGCATTTGACCACGACGCTTGCTTGGAGGTTTGTTGCTCCAGGTGTTCCAGTTGTATGGAGCTGCTCTTCCTACTCAGTGTTTACTCACCAACAACCCATGCCCAATTGAACTTGAACTCATTTCGACTGTAGCTCTCATTGAGTCTTGCGGGTTCGGAGATGCTCAGAACAAGTTGCCCAAGTGACATACCAACAGCCCCACTGTCCACGCGCAGTTCGGCCAGGTCCCTTGGCACCGCCTTTGTGAACTTTCAGCCCCCCACCGCGCAGCCGCTGGTGGCACGAAGGAGCCCCAGCTGCCAGGTGAAGCCGGCTTCATGGCATGTCGTCACCCCGGTCGATGTATTTTGCTCAGACGTTTCCCGCGATTTGATCTTGTGAAGAAAGTTTTTCCTACGGTTCTTGGCTGCCACATTGGATTGGCGGCCTTCGGCCCAGGAGCAAGGCCCATCCACCGGCAGGGCCTCCTTTGCCCCCAGAGCCCTTGGGGGTGAAGTGGGGCAAGGCGCGGGTTTCGTGCCATATTCAAATCATTGCAGTCAACTTCAACATATTGTTCAAAACTGGTGATCATACAGTGTGCTACGTCTTGGATTCGGTGGAACCTGTGCGACTTGGTGACCAAACAACCTCGGGTTCGCAGGTATGCCTTCTAAGCCTTTCAGCCACGCCATGGGTTTGCCTTGTTTGGATGCGCGAGGGTGAGGGCTCCGTGGCCGTGGAGCTTTTCCTGGACCTTTGCTGCCCCTTCTCCCGGCGCCTGCTGCAGACTGTGGCAGGCCAGGGCGGGGGGATCGGGCCGGGCCGCAAGGTGGATGGGAGTCCGTATAATGGCCCAGCCAGGCATGGCGGCATGTCATGGCTCGCCAAAGTTGTTTGTGGTGCTTGTGGCAAGGCGCGTTCCCGAACCTGTGTCAAAGTTCTGATTGGGCTCCTTTCAACGATGGATTCCAAACGGTTTGCACGTGCCTGCCCACAGCAACCCGCGAACACCAAGATGGAAGCAAGTGTTCACAGCCGAGCTTGGAGAGAGAAACAAGTGGAATGCCAGAAGCAGACATGCAGGATGACAGGCTTGCCAGTTGGCTGCTAGCAGCTGCTTGTGCTGGTCATGGTTTGTGTTAGTCCTGCTTGCCAAGCGTTGAGATTTGCCCTGTTTCCGGACAGCCTTTGAACAGACAGTCTACGAGTTCAATTGCGCCAACTTCGAGGAGCATGTGTCGGCACAGTAGTGCACAGCGACATACCTGACATGTGTTGCTTGGCATGTTTCCCCAAATGCAAGGCTTGTCTCACAAGCCAGCCGACATGTCATGCAGATATGCCCCTCTCGGGCATACATCCCAGAGAACTAACGCGACACTCAAAAGCATCCAACTATATTCGAGAGATACCTTTTGAAGGATAGGTCTTTTGTGGCTTGAGACGAGCATTCCTGTGCGGAGAGGCAGCGTAGCTGCCGCCTTCGAGGGCAAGGCGCTTTCCGGGAGGGAAGGGATGTGCAATGGTTTGGCTGATGGCGGGGGGGGAACGAGTGCCGACGCGAAAGCCAGTGCAACAAGTGCAACGTGACAGTTAGCTTCAGCAAGCGCAGGGTTCATTCATGCATTCTAGATGCATCAGCGGGAGTGCTAAAGGATTTGATATGTGAAAGGACACGCTTACCAATGCGGCCGCTCTTTTTTTTGGTTTAGCATTGGCGCATGGCTTTAGTGAGCGAAGGCCGGCAAAGGCCTTGGATCCCAAATATCACATGCTCCATCCGTGCGCGAGGTGAGCTTCGTTTTCCACTCTGTGGTGCAGCCATGGCACCCTCAGAGCACTTACATGCACGTGCCTTGGAAGGGTTTCGGCCAGGGCCTGGGAGATTTGCTTTGGTGGGTGCATGCACAAGTCCCGTGGTCAGCTTGCCACAGGAAATGTTCCGAGACGGCAAGGGCATTGTCCAATATCAACGCATATGGCCTGAGTGCTCGACTGGCCCTAACGCCTTCCTGGCTTCTTTTTTTGCCAAGCAGCGAGTTGCAACTGGATGGGGTGATACTTCAAGCGTTTTCGGAACCTTGCACCATGTGCAAGTTTGCTGCGGGAGGCATGGTACAGTTGACAGAAACGTTTCCCTTAAAGCGAGCTATCTCGGGTAGATGTGAAAGATCTGCAGTTTGAACACTTGGGCCGCATTCCCCTCAGCGATGCAGCTTTGCTGTCTGATAATCCACCTGGCTGTTTTTTTCAGTCCAAAACGCACTGTGCTTTGTGTCGTGTGTGCAGCTTGAGAAGCACCATGAGCATCGGTGTTTCTTAAATGCCTTCTCAGAGACTGTGGCTTTCATGTCCCCGTTGGCTTTTGAACCCTCAACGTGCTTTTGGCGCTCGTTGTGGTGATTGAGCTATTTGTAGTTCTTGCAGGTGGAACGCAACTGCTGATGGCTTCGTCGCTCCAATCTTGTCCGCAGTTGACATGGCTATTATGATACCGGCTGTTACATTTGACATCAGTGGATCGTCTTTGCAGTTTGTTGATCTTCCATTCACTAGCAAAGCATGTCTCGGCAGTCAAGCTTGAAGACGGATCAAGCTTTGCGCAAGCTAGACGATTGGTTGTGCATAGTTGTGTAGCTTGCTGTGTTTAATGCAGAAAGAAGCCCCAGCGACCTTCTGAAGTCAATGCATGGAATTTCATGATGGTGTATACCTATAGACATACCGCGCCTTTACCCTCTTTGGTGCTTGAACATGCGAAGCCTTTTTACCCGGGCGCAACGCTTAGGTCGGCTCGGTTCCGACTCAGGAAGCTTCCCTGGCAGTTCTCAAGCTGCACGGCCCCGATGCCTTCTGGAAGTTTGCGGTGCCTCGGTCGCTGAGAAGCTCGCTGGCCCAAAGGGAAGCCGACCTGTTTGACCTCTGAATGTCCCGGTTTTACTCAGTTTGATATTTCTGGTCTATCCGTCAGAAGACCACGGGTCAAACTGCGACTCAATTTACACGAGTCACGTTGGGAAGTTGTGTAACTGGTCTGCGAGCCGTTGAGCCTGGCAAGAGAGTTGCATATATTTATGGTGCCACGTCTGGTCACGACAGCTCCACCTGGATCACAATCATCGAAGACGGTGTTGCTAAAGAGCCCATCCTGGCTGATGTAGTTAAGCATAGACATAGAACATCATGGATTTGGGCAGAACCAGTGATGGTACTATCAGCCGATACACAGTACCCCTCAGAATGGTAAGACTCGGAGCAACCTAACAAAGAGGGACAAAGACGGTAATCGTTGAGGACTCTAATTTGCACCCAAATCACAGATCCTCAAGTTTGGTCCCAAAGGCGGCCGCCTGGACCAGCCTATTTTGCGCTTCCCCCAACCTGTCTTTCTATTTTTCCCCCTGCCTTCCCCTGGGTTCCTAGCAACTTTGCATTTTGAGGGTTTCTCTTAAACCTAAATTCGTAGGTTCTTGTCTCTTCGAACCATTTAGAGGATCTAATGTTCGGCCTTGCCTTTTGCGCGGGTGG